TGCCCCAGTGCAGCAGGGACGCCTCTACTGGCGGGGCCGCTCGTAAGCCGCACGCCCGCAGCCCCGAGTGCCCGAAAACCTCCAGCTCTCCCCTGGTGCTGGCCCTGCAGCTGCACCCCAGGCAACGTTACCGAAACGTATGTATCTGAACCCAGAACGATTGCCCACGAAAGGTGCTCTGGGTATTAAAGATGTAAAGATTCTCTCTGCTAGTGAGCCAAAGATTCACGGGCCAGAACTGCTCAAGGAAAGCTACTGCCAAGCCAAAGATGAAACCTGTTAAGCAAAAGTCACCCTATGATGGCAGAAATGAGGTGATTGCCCCCGGGACTGAGCAAGCAAGCTCGCTTCAGACGTTTCTGATTTCAGAAACAGGGCAGAGCAGACTGGAAGATTTTTTTCTGTTCTTCCGTTCTGCCCTAGTTCCTAGCACACAGGCAGCCTCTACTAGGAATTCGAAAGAGTCCCTTACATTTACAATCCCTCTTTCAAGATATTTTTAGTCATTTCAGTACGACGATTTTTTCCTAGAGTTGGGTTTATGGCAGCCATATTCAGAGGCGGTGGTCAGACTCAAGCAGCGAAGGGGTCAAAGGGTGCCACTGACATAGAACGGGAGCGAAAGGCTGACATTTGTAGAGAAGCCAGCACTGCTCCCTTCCTCCTCCTCCTCTTCTTCCTCCTGTCTCTCTGCAAGTAGGGTGTTTGACTCAGTCACTTTAATCCTGAAACTGAAGGCACCAGTCTTCTACTGAAAGACACATCTTCTCACGTAAACAAGCCAAGAAATCCTTGAATTAATTTTAGGTTTCTAGGACATCTGTACACAATTTTATTTTATTTTTTAAAGTTATTTCACCAAAAAAAGCCAGCTTATGAGCCAGGTTTGGAAGAAACGCTTTTTTTCATACTGCTGTCATGTTGCCAGGGTTAGCATTGCTCCACATTATCTGCCAAAAGCTTAGAGTAAACCAGTGAAGGTCTAGAGTCAAATAACCTCCTTGGTTTTACTACACCTATCAATGATTTGTACAGCAGCTGGAAAGGATTCTTCTATAAACTTGCAGTGTTGATAAAACATTTATTTTTGCACTATGCTTTCTGCCGCCCCACGCTCAGGGATTATAATTTCCACCTCTTTTCTCTCTGGCCCTGAGAACCAGCAGCCCTGCTCCTCTCCCAGAGAGGTGGTTGCCATCGCTCGGAAGCTAAACCAGGCATTATTATGGCCCCACCCGAAGCAGGGAAGTAAAGCTTTGGTCCCAAAGTAGAAAAGTTTGACCAGAAATTCAAACCATGAGTTAAAGTTATCAATAACAAAAATAAAGTCTATTTTTAATTGGGGAAAAAAAAAAAAAAAGGTAAAAGGGATGTTACATTCTAGCAGGCCTAGTTAAACTGTCAAGGCTTACAGAGTTATGCTGAAGTTTTAGATTAAGCATTTAATGCTGATACACAAAATTATATGTCAACGTGCTCATTTATTACAGTTCTACGTTTAAGATTTACCCCAGAGCCTTTGCTGTAAGCAAAGGGAAATACCGTTTGCTTTGAACCTTCATTAGTACAAGATCCGTTAGATCTGCTAGCAAAACCAGGAGTTAATAGAGGTCCAAGGAGTTTTAGCTAACTACCACATAAACATTTCAGGCAGGGATATGAAAATATTAGTGAAATCTACCTTTTCTCAGCCAATTAAGCACATGAATAAAGTCTCCTTACCACACTCAAATACCACTGAAGAAAATCAGGTTTGACCAGTTCCTCAGAGTCCGTGAACAGAGAAATGGGATATAGGCAACTACAGAAAGCAGGCTGACAGTACTCTCATTTAGAAGAGGTGTAATCCCTAAACAGGGAAACCAGCCAGGGTGCAATCAGAGGTGCTGCTGCTCTGACCAGGCAAAACTGGAAAAATGGGTGCCCTTTTAGAGCCACCCCAAAAGGTATCTGTGATCCTCAGCAACTCTTCCGCCTGCCTGCAATTTGGAAAAAGGTAAAGCATTTAAATGCCAAGAAACCAGAATTTAAATAAATTCTGGAGTGACCATTATTATCTTCCCCTATTTGTGGGAAAACAGTAATCTAACTGTATTTTATTTGATAGTCACGCATCACCTAATTTCCAAGACCACGTAATTCCTAGGGGGATCCTCTAACCCAGTGTGTTGTAGCTTTTCTTGGAAGCTGAAGGGAAGGCAGGATAGAGGGGCTGTCAGCCATACTTTGCCTCTATACAGCTCTTTGCACCTCAGGATTTCAAACCACTGTTAAAGTATGCATCATCACCCCCCGAAAGAGAGGCAGGTGGGCAGAAAGGTGAAGTGACCTGCTCAGCGTTACGCAGGGAGTTGCTGGTAGGGCTGAGAAACTAATTAATTCCTCTACCTCAGACCTCCAGTCAAACCACAAAATATATCTTCTCCTGAGAAGCACCACTGTGCTTGTGAACCGAGGCTGTAGGTCAGCCCCGTGTAAACAGCAAACATCTGCCTGAATCCAGGCTGCAAGTTGATTTTGCTTGGTCCTTGCCAAAACTAGATACGCAACGTCCTCTGTGCCGCTGGGAGATGCCACCTCTTCCTGTTACTCGCCTGGTCTCTTAGCCCACACCACCACACCGCTCAGCTGGTGTGCGGCACCAGCTTAACTTCACAGGGCTGGACCTAGCTTATTGTGTACCTCCTGCTGAGCAGGCCTTGGGACAAAATTCTCAGGTGGCCTCAGCAAAAATGCGGTGGGCTTTGTGCTACAGCAATCCTGCAAGGTGACATCAATTAAACGCTTCCGCAGTGCACGGGTGCTGGGCAGCACAGATCCAAGGGTTCAGCGTGAGCGTCTTGCACTGAGAAGAGTTTTCTGCCAGCGCTTCTCAAATTGGTCTCACTACCGCTTTGAGGTCTACCTGTCCAGAGATCTACTACCTCCAGTCAATGATTGATCATCTCCTGTGTTAGAGGCTTACTTCCCACAGCTGCCTCTCCTCCTTCACAAACACAAGGTGAGTTGTCTTCATCCTCATGACTTTAACCCCACATCTTTCAGCTTCATGATCACAGCACTGGCAGTGGCTTTCAGAAACTCCCTGCTAACCTGTACCGCCTGTTAACTCCCTTCTCTCACAAGAACCTTTGAACACTTGTGTCATCCCCTTCTGTGTGAAACAAACTGCCAGAAGGAAAAACTGTACCGCCAGAAATTCATCATCTTTAGAATCCCTCCTTAGGACCTCTTCCTACAGTGACCGTATGAGATACTGCCGCTAACACCTGCCAAGCCAGTAGCAAGCTTAACTGCATTCACCTTTTCTCTCTGCAACGAGATGTATTTTGTTACCCTGCAATCCCATGCATATGTTCCTTCTCTTCACGTATTGCATCTTGCCATTAAGCTCTGTTGGCTAACCGGGTGGAAAACACAGCAAGTCTTAACTATGTTTGCACCCCGCTGAGTTTAGTAGAGACCATGTTCCACATGAACTTGTAACTGTTCTTCACCACACCTAGGAATAACATACAGAAAATGAGATAGTCCTACATATTGTTTTGCATAAAATTCCTCCTACAACATGGAAAACAGACTAGCAGGTTCTGCAGCAAACATCTGCATGACCAGCAAACAGAGGCGTTTCTGTGAAGAGCAGCTCCCTGTCTGTACCAGTGCTGGCCAGCCCACAGAAGAGCTGGTACAAGGGCCTGCACTTAGCTCGCTGCCTGGAAGCTGCAGTTTCTGGCAATGAAAGGGGAAAAAACCAGTGCTTCCCTCAGAATGACGCAGGACATCCAAGGCAAGTGAGAAGGTAAGTGGGACACGTCCTTCGCGCTAATTAATGACGATAAGGTACAGTCAAGACTGTTAAGGGTTTTCCTGTCAGTATTAGAATAGTCATCGTTTATCTCTTTTTAAAAATACAGATTAGGAATATAGTGGCTTCTCTTTAATTCAAAGGAGTTGGCAGGAATGAATGCTCCTTAAAGGGTGCAGCATGATGGGAACCTGAAACAAGGTAAAATGAGAATGTTAACCAGAAACCCTTCCTGTGAAAGGAGCACTGGCGGGGAAGGGGCCTGACCTGGAGCCCTGTACCCCGTAAATGTGTGGGGTTGCTGGTGCTGACCTTTGCTGGCTTCCTGAATCCTATGTGCACATTTAAGCATGTGAAGAACCTGAAACCACAAAACCCAGGAAGAGCAACACATAGTTGAGCTAGTCTTTCGCAGGTGGTGGATGTTTCCTGGGCTGCTCCTACTCGTCCAATGACCTGTAAAGGACATGTGTCGATTTAAATGGTATCTGCTGAGAACTGCTGGCACAGAACGAAGCTGGGGCTGCGACTTTCTGCCTGTCCGTTATGAAGGACTATTGGCAAAGAAGGCACGCCGGTCAGTCACTCGATCTACGAGTTACGAGTGGTGGGATTTGTTGGCTTGGGCCTTTACTGTTCTTGGTGAATGGGAATGCAAGAAACATCCTCAAGAAGGCAAAAGCAGGGGGAAAGTGGAAAAGCTGCAACGATAAAAAGCCCTGCAGTCACAGTCTTAGGCTGTGGTCATATCTAAGCCCTGAGCAAGCCTGGATCAGGCATGGATTAAGACTGGGCTCATCACAGGCAACCTGCCTGCTGTAGCTAACGCTGCTGGTAACTGAATGGCCTCTGGGCTTCTCTTTGCTAGAGGGGGAAAGACAGGCTTCCCTTGTTAATGAGCGTGGATTTGCAAAGGCAAGCACCCTCACGAATACAAGGAAGTATACGTGCGGGCGTGAGCGTTGTGGTTTTCTTTAAGCATGGCATTTAAATGAGATAAATGTTGCATCCCTGACAGTCTTTGTTCTGACTTACTAACACGTGTGAAGATTTCAAATTGCTCTGTCCCTGCTAGTAACTACCGTATGGCTAAAAACAAATTCCCAGTGTGGATGCACCCAGAGCTACTAATCTAATACACAACAAGTGCAGGAGGCACTTCTGCATGCGAGCAACTGTTAACATCTAGACTGTAAGAAATTGTACAGCTCTGTTCACAAGATCAAAAGTACTGTTTCAAAGTAAAACTGAATTATCTCTAGCCTCTGTGCATCTGGTTTTAAACAGTATTCTCTTATTACTACCGCTCTCTGTCTCAAAGTAGTTGTGTTTGATAATAACATGGTTTCTGGAACCCGTTGAGATGAAAGCAGAAGAACAGAAATCCCTATGCAGAAAGTTGCCGTCAAACAGCAGCTTCTGTTGTGTAGAAAAGTTGTTCTCACACCACCATTACTCTAGCCTGAAAGACCCATTTTAAGGAAGAGTTACAAAGTACAATATCAAGAAGAAGAAATTCTTCACCTACCAGGCGATCAGCAGAAAATACGAAGTCTCCTCTACTGGATTTCCTGAAAAAGGTAATAATTTATACTTTAACTTGGGGAATAATTTTAAGAACATTGCTTAAATATAATATTAATTCAAGCACAATATATTCTAAAGGCAGTTCAGAGAAAAGTCTCCTACCATATACAAAATTTATCCCACAGAGGTTCTGCTTCATGGGTTTCCTGCTTGGTGGCGAAGACTGAGATGCAGTGAGCTAACGCCGGGGTTCGCCTCTTATTACGGGCAATGTCGCTGCACTGCACCCGCAGCAATTAAAGCATGAAAGTACAAGGATGATATTCTGTAGGTTTTCCGTCGGACTGCCACTGCAGCTCAGTTCCAAAACACCTCACAAGCTCGGATGTGCACCACCCTGCTACGTTGCCTACAGCCCTGAGCAAGAGAGCTTTGCTCCGCCCGTTCTTAAGTCAATGGGAAACCGTGGGACAAGGATAACGCAGATCCCTAGCCCTGTGACCCAGTTAACACACCTGATAAGCAGGATATATATCTTATCTGCGACCCAGTTAACACACCTGATAAGCAGGATATATATCTTATCTGGAATTCATTCACAGTGTGACTAGATTAGTGATCTTGAGACTAAAATGAGCAGGGATTAACGAGTATTCCCATGAAAACACCTCTCTGTCGTCTTATTAGCTTGGGTGCAACTTTTTGCTCACGTGACTGCACAGCCTTTGGCCCATTCAGATGACAGAATAAGCTCGCTTCCTCCTCCTCCTCCTCCTCCGTGCTGCGTGAGTACTCCATGTTAAAAGCCCGAATTTTAAAAGCAGATTTTACCACCTTGCTTCCCGTGTCAAGGCCAACTCTCACTACACAAGAGTAGGACAAATTTCCCATTAAGGAGCCACCGCTTACAGTATGCTAGCCTTAAAAACACTCAGACAAAGCATCACCACCACAAGCAGGTACTTTTTAGTGAAATTTTCTATTAATCACCGCAGGCATACCCCACTCTCACTTTCAAACCACGATACCCTGGATGGCTCCTTAAATACCATAAAGAGAGTTTGGCATTTAACCCCCAAGATTCTGCAACATCTTACGTTTACATGGGTGAAAGTCAAGCGGTTTGCGTTGGCTTATCTCCTGGGCAACTGGTAACTTAGCCACACTAAAAAAAGGTGTTTTAAAAAGAGCGTCAGCCTAATCTAATTTCTTTCCTTGTGCTGATAACACATTATGGAGAACGCTGTTTGTTTTTGGCTTTTCCTTCTTTCTGGCAATAACAGGATATTCATAACTTTCTGCTACTTTGACATTAACCAGAAAGGCAATGCTCAAAAAAACCCCAATCCCAAAACAGCAAAAACCAACCCCCAAACGCCTGCAATCAATACCAACTGATTTTATTAAGATTTTTGAAGGGGTTCATATTTCCACCTGTGGTGTGTATAATATTTTTTTAAAAAGGGAAGTAGGAAAATGTGTAGGCGGCACGTCGGGGTTCTTCCCAACTAGACTATGGCATTTCAGAAAACTTAGCCGTATTTCATGAACGGGTGGTAAGACAAACCCAACGATGTCAAGACTGCGGTTTTGACTTCAAAGCGATACATGCTTAGAGTGAATATGAGTTATTAATAGAGATTACTAGGCTTTCCATTAACTACTCTGTCCTTGCAGAGAGACACAGATGTTTTTATGCGCAGTTCACTGAGCACTCTTAGTCAGTTATGGCTGTTTTTTGAGGGGAGGAGGACAACGGAAAACAACGGTGCATAAAAATGAGAGACAAATAACACTGAAAATGACAGACCTCTTGTACACCGGCAGCTGGGAAGTTGTGACCAGATTTCAAGCCCCACATCGTATGAGAATTGCTAGGGGCCAGAAAAAAAGGCTTATGTGAAAACACTGTAATTCACCTTAAATACCAGACAGAAGTATAGAGCGTAATGATCGATGGCAGACTAGAAACTTTTTCAGCTTCTTAATCAAGTTACAAGACAACATCTAAAAAAGTGAGGCATTAAAACCTTACTGTTGTAGCACACGGCTAACACCACGAACATCGTGTTAAACAATATAAATTAGTTTCATTTTGTTTCTGAAGGTATGGAAGCACGGCTGATGTACAATTGTGTGACTTAGGAGTTGAGAAGAAATGTTTTTTGGGAGTGTACCGTAATCCAAACTAACTGCAGGGTTTCTTCCTGCTTTAGCACTTGGTACCAGTTACTACCACTGACACGGCCGCAAGCTCTGCGGGTCGTGGTCTGATGTGCTTTAGTAATTCCTGTTTCTCTAGTTACCTCACGGAAGAACTTCTTGAGAGGCACCCAGGGTACTGTGAAGGCCAGACTGACAAAGAGCCGCTTCCCTAAACAGAATTTGTAAAAGGCCTTTATAAGAAAACGTAAGGCACTGGATGAACTGTTGCCATTAAGGGGAGATGATGTAGCTGGGAAACGGGACCATGTTCTACCTGTAGCATTTCAGTACTTAATGTACTTCAGGACTTAATTTCTTTTCAGTGCCTGGGCTGGGGCCGTGGTATGTGAAAGGGATCCCACCCTCCCTGCCTGCAGCAGTCTTTGCTCGTCACAGGCGAGTTACACGCTCCTGAATCACCCTACTCTGTACAGCAGTCGGGACTGCGTGTCCTACCACTTCACTGTCTTCATTCCTGTATTGTTCACTCAGCCCCTAGGGAATAAGAAGCCTTAGCAGAACACAACAGAATTATCTCACGTAACAGATGCAATAGCCTTTAAATACCTATATTTAAATTATGTCTGTTGTTAAATCAGGGGTTAAAATGACACTACCAATCTGAGCTAATGAATTTGCTTCTACAGAAACCAGAGCTCTACATTACAAACTGCCGCACTGCTCATTTCAGCCTCCAGATCCCTGGTTCCATCTGTGCAGGCCAGCAATGACTTCGGGATGATACCCTCCTCAGAAAGGGGCCGTGACTCTTTGTTCCCAAACGTTCAATACTTAAACGCATCAGCTCACATCCCATTAGAGGACTCAGAATTCCTATCCAACACACAGCGTAAAAGGCATCTGCCCACCCATTAAGCATTTGCTAGATGGAAAAGTGAACAAGCCTGAGGAAAAATGAGCAAACCCACGCACGCTCAAGTTGAGGTGATCCATCCATCTCCCCCATTCTGGCACGCAGACCTCGTTCTTGTTAACTTTAACAAAGGAAAAGAAATACATGGTCATTCTAGTCTATCAGACGGCTGTTACTGATTGAGCCAGCTGTCTCTGAACCTGCCACAGGACATGATGACCAGCCACAGGAAGGTGGGTTTTCCCTTTATAAACTGGATAGTTACTCCAACTGAAAGGCCGTGATTTCTTTCTCTGAATCCTCTCAGGAACAAGGGAAGAGCTTTCCACTTTTCTCAGCAGCTCACGCTGTGGACAAAACAGAGTCCCCGAGGTCTTCTGCACCTGGCCCGAGCATCCTTAGCTCCACGTAAGCATGCCTGATTCTAACTTGCATTGCACTGGAAGTATCTATCCTTCCCTTACATCACAGTAATAAGTCCTAAACTGACTGGTTTTTCCCTACTTTTGTCCTGTTTCTCTCCCCCCAGCTTGCCTTTTAATTTCTGCCCTTTTCATGACCTTTTCAGGTGACTGCTGTACCTGGAACATCAATCTTCTGCAGTATTAAGTAATCCAAATAGCCTCCTTGAGTTAAGGCAGCTCTGGTGTTACCTGTTCTTTTTTTAATCCAGAAAGAAAGATTAAGTGATAGGTATCTAATTGCCCTGTAGATGACACAGCTTTTCCCTCTCCCCCAAGCAGTGTATCTGAACATATCCTTTTGTCAGTTTAAATCGGATTTTTTGACCAATAGCTCCTCTGAGCCGTATAGCTCCTTATTCACAAATAGGATACTTCTGAGGATTTGCTTTTAGCACTTGGTTTGGACGCTACAGTGGTCATACAGTCGTCTTAAGGCAGATTACACCTGCCCAGGGAAAGGTTACTGCAACAGTTTCTAACCAGTGCGTAAGAAATCCTCTCACCCTTGCACCTGAGCACTTTTTGGCATCTTTCTGAATGACAGGCACTAAAACAGGCCAGTCCGAGGTCTCTTATTTACTGAGATGCAGCTGACTTTCTGGGACAGAACGTAAAAATAATGTTTCCCTACTGTCCTTTTATACAAAGCCTACACCTGCCTTTCTGAGCAGCCTGTTGTCCAGTTTTCCTCACTGGTTGGAAAGGGACAGTTACATCTCCACTGCCAGGGCAGTGTCATGCTCAGAATAAAGCGCAGTTTGCTATCACGGCAGCTGTTATGAGTGATTTATTATTTACAAGTCTTATTCTGTACTTCCCCTTACCAAAGTCATGTGCAATGAGGCTGATGCACTTCTAAAAAAATCTCTTCGAAGTTAAAATATCAGCTGCTGGTTTCTGGATAAGCTCACTATAACCAGAAACTTATTAAACGAATTTGCAAAAGTTCAAAACCTTACAACAACAATAAAAAAAACCTAGCTGGGTACAGTAACCACATTGCTAGCATTCGCCTAGATATCGGAACTATATGCTATTTCCTTTTCACTAACCTCAAAACCTTTTATAAGCCATCACCAAGCCTAGTTTGGATTTCCTCCCCCTCTCTCTCTGCGCAGCCCACTGACAGCTTCCCTTTCTGCTCTGCAGGGAAGCTGCCAGGCAGACATGCTCGCCTGCAGAGATCTTTTGTGTGGTCTTGCCACAATTGCCCTCCTTACATCGAGGCTGCGCTACGTCCGTGTGCTCCTGCCTGCAATGAGATTATATTTTCCTCACAATGCTTTGAAGATTAAAAAAAAAAAAAAAAAACCACAACTAATTTAAGGTAACAAGGCTCATGTAAGCTAATAAAATTAACGTAGGTATTGTCTTTGAGAGATGATTACTTTTGCATAAAAATGTGTTAGTGTTATTAGTTACAACATTAAGCACTCAGGAACCAGGAAATACCAAAACGTAGACTATGCAGATGGACAGATATGAAACAAGGGGAAGAACCGTGTCTGTGCTACGTGCTAGTTATTGCAGGTGTTAGGAAGCCAATGTGTTGCAGGAAGAGAAGGTTTTATTCAGAACCTGATCACCCTGTTGGTAAACTTGATTTCACACCTCTGTGGCTGCTGGTGTTCTCACATCACAGTAGGTAAATTGTGCTCTTAATAGATGGCCATGGCTTACGTTTGTCATGTTGCATGGTACATTTAATACCTTATAATATCACCTTCCAAGTGCTGAACAATCAAAGCTACAAATGTGATCAGTGGGAGGTATGCTTTCAAAATCTGCGATGCTATGTAAGGCATAACAAAACATTCGGTCCGAAGTATCTCACATTGGATGTTCAGCAGTGGGGCGCAATTTTGCATGGACTTCTGCATTTCAGTTTAAGATTTGTAAAACTGGAATAACACCTTCATGTCTCACAAGGTACGGAGGCAGCAAGGACTCTTGGTGACATGAGGTGACAACAATGGAAAATAACGCCTTCAAAACAGGCAGTCTCCTTTCAGGTAACGTACCCAAAGTAAAAAACTTGTTCTCTCCTTGTCTGCCTCCCTCCTTAACACTGCCTCTCTCCCATTCCTGCCAGCCCACCATGCTCTATCCCCAACTTTGTGTTCCAAAACTATTCTTTTTCCCTAATTTATTCCAGCCCCTGCTCCTCAAACACCAGACTCCATTTCAGCTAGTCTCACTTTTCTCCAATCCTTTTCTTATTTCCAGCTCTCTCAGGCTGCCCTTGTGATCTGTTTTCTTCTGGCCATCCTTGTCCCAAAATCCTTAGCGCCCACACACACCAATACAGACTGCAAGGACTCGGCCCTTACATTTTCCTTAACGTGGGCAGGTTTAGGTTGGATATTAGGAAAAACTTCTTCGCCAAAAGGGCTGTCGGCCCCTGGCACAGGCTGCCCAGGGCAGGAGTTCAGTCCCCATCCCTGGAGGTATTAAAAGCCGGGGAGATGTGGTGCTTGGGGACACGGTTTAGTGGTGGCCTTGGCAGTGCTGGGTTAACGGCTGGGCTTGATGATCTTAAGGGTCTTTTCCAACCTTAACGATTCTATGATTCTGTGGTAATCCCAATCTTCAGCAAACTCGCCTGACTTCCCGCCATTTATTCCCAAACCCAGCACCTGTCCTTCGCCAACGTTTCAATCCAGCCTGTGCTCCTACACCCGCCCCGTCCTGCCTACGGCACAGGATCTCCAGAGCGTGGCAACGACGCCCAGCTCCCGCCGGAGCACGACGCCGTGACGAGCAGCTGCACCTTCCTTTCTCCAGGGTTTTAAACCCCTTCCTCCCGTGATGACGATGCGGCAAGCAAGCGGTGCGGAGCTACGCAAAAACCCCACGTCAAGAGGCGTTAAGAGCCGCCCAAGCCGGGTCTTTGTCACCGAGGGCCGCGGGGCGGAGCGCGGCCCCGCTGAGGCGAGG